GCCTTTTAAAAGAAATGGATACTTCAATACATTGTGCACCGACTCTATTAATTATATTGATTAAACGTGACAGTAAACACATTCATCATTTTACACATCATTTTAAGATTTCTTTGAAATAATCAGCCTTATATAAAACTTTTTTTTCCAAAAGAATCACAGCTATTTTTCATATTCATAGCAAAAACTGTTCTTTGAACACCAAATTGGCATATTAGTACTATTTCTGTAGGATGATGTGACACCGAAGGCGAGATTAATGATGCTGTTTTGCTTGGAAATCACAGATTATAGAAAATATATTTGTACTTTATGTACACTAAAACATGTTAGAAACTGGAAGGGTCGGCAAAGGGCCTTGAGCCAGGTATCAACTCAGGTCGCCACGAGCACCATGGTGCTATATGTTGGTGCACTTAGCCACTAGGCTATTGGCACCAACAAAATTATGGAATGTTATTACGGTTTTAAACAATTGTTTTCTCACCGAATGTAGATATAATTGAATTAATTCTGGATAATAACAAATTTAATTAATTTATCTCATTTAAAGCTGAATTTTTCTTCTATTGAAACTCTTCAGTGTTGCATGATTCTTCAGAAATCATTAAAATATGATTATTTCTTTACTCAATAATCACCAATTAATATTGTTTCAAAATCACTAATAATGATTTATACAATCATCAGTGCTGATATTTGGTTTGACTTGCTTTTTAGTATCCATAAATCTTTCATTAATTTTACTTAAGATTGCTTGATAAAAAAGACAGTTAAAATAATATTAATAATATATTTTTTTACATTTTAAATGTATTTATAATGTATAAAAAGATTGTAAAAAAAACATATTTGCATATTCAAAGTCATTGGAAAAAGTAACAAATTATATTTAACAAAGCAAGGTAATTTTTACAGTGTGTCTGATAATATTTTTTCTTCTGGAGAAAGTCTTATTTGTTTTTTTTCTCCTAGAATAAAAGCAGGGGTTTTTTTACATTTCAGGGTAAAAATTATTAGCCTCTTTAAGCTAATTTTTTTTCAATAGTCTACAGAACAAACCACTGTTATACAATGACTTGCCTAATTACCCTAACCTGCCTAGTTAACCTAATTAACCTAGTTAAGCCTTGAAAAATATCCAGTCAAATATTATTTACTCTCATCATGGCAAAGATAAAATAAATTAGTTATTAGAAAAAAGCTATTAAAACTATTATGTTTAGAAATGTGTTGAATAAATCTTCACTACGTTAAACAGAAATTGGGGGGAAAATAAACGGGGGAGGGCGGGGGGAGATTTCTAGTATTCAGGGGCTAATAATAAATAATTCATAATATATTTATTAATTTTTTTCAATAGTAGAAAACAGAAAAGAACAGTGGACTTTCCAGTAGAGGAAAGAAAACAAAAACAATCTCAACAATGGTTGGCTTTCCATGACATTTGTTATCTCTCATAAACTGGCTCGGTGATTGGAAAAATCGTATTTTAGTTTTAATGCATTTCCATTTACCTTTTAAAGGGATGGACAGATGGCAGAACAGGAGAACTGGCCAGTTCATTTCATGAGGAAAGCCTATTATTTATGAAGTGACAGATTATCAATTTATGTCGCTCAGACTGTAGATCGAGATTGAGGATTGTAGCTTATCGTTCACCACGAGTTGCCCTCTGTGTCCGTCAGGTCTCTTCACCTCTGGCATGACTTATTAAAGTCCACTCCATTTCCCTTCTTTTCCCTGGTGATCAAAACAATCCAAGTTATAAAAGACATGGGATTTTGGACCATGAACGCACGATTGAGACGTGATCTTTGCTCTGGCATCTAAAAAACACCAATCTAAGTATTCCACTGGGTAGCCACTCTCTATCTGGGGAAATCATGTCCAACCCTAATTTCCTCCATTGTGTACCAGCTGAATAGAAATCCTTAACACTACTTCAAAAGGGTCTTTTTTTCTTTCCCTTTACACCTTTTTTTTTTTTTTGCTGTTTGTGAACCTCTGACAGACACAAAGTGACTTGAAAATCCTCAGGGTTCATCACAGGCACCTGATTTAAGCCAGTGAGGGAACACAACATTTGGACAGCCACAATCCCAAGCTCTGTGATGGCTTATGGAAATGAGCGCTATTCAAATTTCTCAATTGTGTGTAGCATAGCAAGTGCCCATCATTTGCCCCATTTGGATGAGCAAACCTGCATAAAACATGAGTCGGATGAAACAAGGCTGTCATTTTCAGCCCTGAGAAAGCTGATTGTGCCCTTGGAGGGTTTAAGCTCAGATGTTTTAAAGATAGAGGGTGAGCAGAGCCGGGTGATCAGAGATAGTCTGCTGTCCGAAAGGGCCTCTTGGGTGTTGTTGGTGGTGATTCGTGGTGCCCGCAGATGTGTGATAGCCGCTGGGCATGACGACACGTTGGTGGTGATCTTCAGTGTTGCGGACAGTGCCAGCGGAGGTGCTGATAGGTCATGCTTGGTGACAGCAGCTTGTTCAGGCCTCGTTGCTGGCAGATCTTATGCCATCTGACATCTCAGACAGCAGTGCAACCAATAGCCGTGCAGCTGAAACAGACATAACCCTGTTCCTGTTGTACTCACTAAATATTTCAGCACATCGGCAGTGAGAAGAACATTTCATGCCTACTTGGATCCTTGATGTGCCTGCAATGGCTGTATAGTTTATTGATGGCATATGCATTAGTCTTCCACTGCTTATAAAATGATGGAAAAGTTTAAGTGCACCTTCCTTAAAATTAAGGCTTTATGCGCTGCCATTTAGAAGTTTGAAGTGAGATTAAGAAATTAAGACTTCATACTTAAAGGTTCAAAACACCCGGGTTTTCTTATCCTATGAGAAGACCCTGCTTCCTAATTATTCATGACTGCACGTGCTTTCTGATGACAGACTAACATGGACAGACCAGCCTGATCTCACAAGAAAACGTAAGTATTTTACGTTTTGCCAGTTTAGTGGCTAATTTGTACGAATTCGTATGAGTTCAGTCTTACAAAATTTTATGATTTTAAGAAGGAGGCGTGGTATCTAACCCCAACCCTAAACACAACCTTATTATATTGGGTTATTGGGTGATGAGCAAATCGTACTAAATTGTACAAATTAGATTGTACGAATTCATACTAATTAGCCATTAGACCAAAAAAGTTACGAATTGCCGTGAGATTGTTTTGGACAGAACACAAACCTTCCAAGCTGTGAGACAGTGCACATCATGCAGTATTTAGCCATTCATAAAGGCTTGAATGTGTATGTTTCTATATAATCCACAGGGTTTGCTGCATGGGTTTTTCCGTGATGCTGTCAGGGCCACCGATACAGCCAACCTGTTTGGGTGCAGAAAGTAGTTTTGTAAGGAGAGCTGTACGAGAATTGGAAAATGGCAGACTTTGTCTTTTATCAGTTGAGTTTGTTACCAGTCAGACACGTCACCGTGCTGCCATGTTTAAAATGTTTAAATGTTTCAAATCATACAGATTACCGGCAGGGCTAAAGGTTGAAATAGATAGGGCAAGAGAACTGCTGCATTGCTCCACCGTGTCTGCATTCAGACCCAGGGATTCAGGAGGAGAAAAGTCCTCTTCATTTATTGCATCTACATAAACATGTTTATCTTTATAATGATTTAACAAATTGTGGTTGTATATTATATGAAACTTTGTAACAGCATTAAATTAATTACTGCTTATTTCTTTGCATTTTAACTTTGTAAACTATAAAACCATGCGTCTCCTCACATTTTGTATTTTTTTTATATTGAGCTGGTGAGACAACAGACAAGAGCCATTCTGTTTCCTCTGCTCTATCGGCCATGTCCACTCCTCCATCCCTCATGGAGCTCCACACCCATCATGAAGCATTTAAAAAAAAAAACTGAGGTAGACTTGAACTAAAAAAAGAAGGGTTTCATGACCTGTTAATGAATAGTTCAGTAAAGATGTATAAATTGACCAAAAGTGACGCTATGGACATGTACAGTTGTTTTGTGATGTTACAAAAAGTATTTCCTTTAAATAAATGTTTTTGACTAAAAAAATCTTTTCACAAAACAATCTTAAATAAATATTTAAAAATAATAAAATGTAACATTTTGATCGCCCTACTAAAGTATATTCATACTTCGCGTGCAAACATTTTACGTTCACTGTAATTTAAAAATTTTTCAAATAAATTATGACCTTATACCTTGAATTATATATATATATATATATATATATATATATATATATATATTTACAGCCCATTTTGAAAATAAATATTTTTATCCATTTCTCAGTGAATATAGGCAATGTATTTTAGTGCATTTAAACAAAACAGATTTAATAAACAGAAAAATTATTAAAATAATATTTTGTTCACCAAACATATTTAGAAATTGACAGATAATACAATTAAATTCAAGCAAAGTATTGCAAATATTTACAACCTACAAAATTTGTACAAATTTATTCAAATTTTTCTCTTTTTGCTTCTCTTGATTTTCCCTCTTTTTAGAATTTGTTTTTAATATTTTTCTATAACATTTAAATTTGGTTATACTAATTTTTAGATCATTTTCGTAAGTTATTTTGTGCAATAAGCTCCAGATTTGGCTTCAGTACTGACTAATCTAATGTATTTGCACAAATATAATAATGTATAGCTTCCTACTTATAATAATAATAATGTATAGCTTCTTACTTATTTTTATGTGTCAAAAACCTTTAAGCTTTAGCATTTTTCTCAGACTTCTATGTCTTGATCCAGTAATTTCACTTTTATGGCAAAGAATAGGTTATTTTCATCACGTTTAACATGAAATAACTGGACATAAACTTAAGAGGCTGTAAAATAATGTTTATTGTAGAAGACAATTCTAGATATCACTTGGAGGTTTTTGCATCTGCACTGTTCATGTATTTTTTTCATTAGTTTGTAATATTTGTTTCTTAATATATCAACAAAATATTTTTTCCAGTAAATGTCCTGTCTTAAAGTAGTTACTTTCATTTTTTTATGTGGTTAAACTTCCAGGCCTTTAGCCAATGTTACTTTATTTTCAACTGATACTAGTTTCACCTTTATATTTGTGCTTAAGGAATCATACAATTAAAATGAAACGAGGGGAAAAAAAGGACCTTCATTTATTTAAACTGTAAATAATAGGCTTTGCACTTCTTAATCATGCTTCGGAAGTTTAATTAAAAATCAGCAGAAGGAAGGAAGGACCGTTTTGCACTAATGCCCAATTTCTTTTTGCAAAACCATAGTGTTGTTTGCTCTGTTTTGTTAAACTCGTTTGCTGTAATTAAGGGATCAACAAAATCAATACTTGTGTTTACTTCCTATGTATCTTTATGCTCCGTGGAGACACATTTATGTGTATTAGATTAAAGGCAGTTGACAAACTCTGACTGCATGATCTCTGTGATGTGTATGTATATTTCCTTGACTCTTGTGCACATGGTTCGAGCATGTGAGCATGCTGGTGATTCTGCTGAACTGTGTGACTCTGGGCATGTATCAGCCATGTGAGGACCTCAAGTGCCAGTCTGAGTGGTGTATCGTCCTGCAGGTAAGTCATTCTCCATTACATTATGAAAGAAGAGCTTCAAGCATTCGTTCTAAAATATAATTTTCCCTAAAAGCATTTGGAGTTAATTAACATCAAACCAAGTGGATTTTAAGACGGGTTAGTTTCAGGGTGATTATAAGTTCAAGCAGTTGTTCTCACTGCATGTTGTTTAACTACATGACATAGATAGAATTGTACTAAAATAACTACAAAAAATTAGGCCTTAAAGACTATAACAAGTTTTTTAACAAGCGTTGTATGTTTTTAATAAAAATGCATTGTTTAATTTTTATCTGAGCAAACAAAATATAAATATTGTATTTACATTAGTCTCATTATTACTGGAAAAAACACACTAAAATTTCAATTTGGATAACAATCCAACTTTTATACCAAAAAACTGCCCCAAAATTCTTTTAAGATACATTTTTGCATCACTATTTTTGACAATTCTCTTATGTATATTTTCATAAGTAGAGAATAAGTTTAATTTTTAACCGTTATAAATGCTGATTGACAATTGAATATTATTTTACTCATATTTTAAATTGTATTTACATTTAACGTAGTTGGATTTAATATGCTTTCTGTGTATTTAAAATCCCTTATTAAATTAAATTAAATTAAATTAAATTAAATTAAATTAAATTAAATTAAATTAAATTAAATTAAATTAAATTAAATAATAGTATCCAAATGAAAAATAAATAAATAATTATATAGATCAAATACCCGTATACTTTTTGGGGCAGACTTCATCAGTCTTGAATGTCTGTTTTTAAGACTGTCCCACAACAGAGTTGGCCTTTAGCCCATGTTTTGTGGCACGCACAGTTTTAGAGGTCACTGGAACCTTTGCCAGATATCACAAACTGAGGCATTTTTCTTGTGTAATTTTGTGATTCTCTATAATTCTGCCCACGCTCCCATCAAAGCCAACAAACAGAGTTGTACAGTATATATGGTACTACTGTGGGAAATTTCTGTGTCCAGAAGAGCCTGACATCAGGATTTAGGAGATCAGGTCGACTGAGGCTAGAGCTGAAAATAATACTCTACATGAATCATAGCTGAATCTTCTCACTCTCTCTCTGTAAACCACTCAAATGGTGCCCAATTTATTGAAGTTCTTTGCTTCTGATTTACATTTTTCCAGCAACAGGAATGGGAATCTGTGCAGAGTCCCTAAAGAGAGACATAGTAAAAAAAAAAAAAAACTTTGTGTCCACTCATAAAACTTCTGTATTCCCCCAAGAAACTTTGTTCTAACTCACAAATTTTTGGGGTGAAAAAAGAGGTGGGTGAAAAATCAGTGTTTTAAAGCATTTGTGAAGAAATGCAGTAGTGTCATGTGTGAATGTAACATTTTTAAGAGAGTGCACTGTCTGAAGAAGTATCTCAGGGGATACATTTTTATTCCCATAGGGGATACTCAAAAAAAAAAAAAAACATTTTAAATAGCTGTTGTGGCAAAATGAAAAAAAGTGGTAAACTGTTCGACTATGACACCAGATTGTAATAAAATAGGTTCGAAGAAATGCAAGAAAGTCAAAATCTGTAAAATAAAATAAAAATTTGAGTACAAATTAAATGTTTAATCAAGGACACAATATTTTTTGAATGCAATGCAATACTTGTTGAGCTTTCAACAGGTTTTTTTGCAAACACAGGTCATTGGAGGAAATTTGTACTCTTCCCCTGTAAACCACTAAAAGGATGCTCAGACTAAATGTGCACACTGAACATATTTATCCTTATATTTTATTTTTCCACAGGAACAGGGATTTGCATAGAACTCATAAAAGAACAAAGTAATAGGACAAAAATAAGATGGGAGAAAAATAACCTGTGACTAGTGCTTTAAATTCTCTTATAAAACCTTTGTATAAAAGGTTATAAAAACATATGAACTGTAGTGCAGTCAATCGATTAAAAAAATTAATCTAATTAATCGCACATCGCGATTAAAAGACTTGTCATTTTGGCTATTCAAATGTAATAAATTACTGTAAACTTGAGACAAAGAAATTTTAAATTGTATTATATGAATTGATACTATATTATTAATTAAATTGTATTAAATATTTAAATTCAAAATATGATTGTTTATTAGAATTTTTGTTTAACTTGTAACAGATTTCTTCATGTAAACAACATACCTGCAATGCACTCAAGCAACACTCACAGTACAGCGCATGCGGCAAAGCGACTCCCTCCAGATTCATCAACAATCGTGGTGACGTTCATCAATTAGCTCAAACTAAGCGTTCTAAAATATGGCTATATTTTACAAGCAAGGATTCTGACACAGCAACATGACACAGATGCTTTGCAAAAGTTACATTTAAGGGGAAGTTCTGCGGGTTGAACCATGTGCCACATTTTCCTTGCCAATCTTAAGCCAATTGTAATCATTTTTTTTGGTTCACTTTGGAATTTCCACAACCCTCGCAAAACTTGGGGGATCAGAGTGAGCGCTCCTACTTGGCCCCACCCTGATCCAACATGGAATCAACAGGAAGGCAGAGGGATGCACTGTCTCTGACAGCTCTTGACATCATCTGACACTGATTACATTTACATGGACACCAATACTCAGATTTTATTTTTATTAAGACGATACTCTGATTAAGAGTCTACCATGTAAACTGTGATTTTTGATTACCTTAAAGGACCACCGGCGTTTGGTATCGAATTATATTAAAACAACACTCATCAACCTGTACTTACACATTATAGCCCCTATCATACACCCGGCGCAATGTGGCCCAAGGTGCGGCACAATAGTCTTTTGCTAGTTTCAGCTTGGCGCAAGAATCGTTTTGAGGCGTTGCGCTATGCTGTTTAAATAGCAAATGCATTTGTGCTCATATGTGAGCTTTCTGAGGCGCACTGCTGGCGCGTTGCTATTTTGAGAAACTAAAATAGATTTTTCATTAGACCAAAAAAAAAATGGTCTAAACTCCTCGCGTACACACTGCTTAGATGTAGAGCAATAAGCAAATATCTTTACATATGAAAAAATGTAAATATTAAGGATATATATAGGATATAATCAGAATATATATAGGATATAAATATAAAGGATTAAAATGATACGAAACATATTATTTTCTAGCCTACATAAATATGAAAAAACACTGCTTTTTGAACACACTTCGTTATTGTTCATTTATTCGTTTGCTGGAAATTAGAACTGAATTTAGAAATAGTTTTGAAACAAATATTTGCGCTTAACAAACGAAAATAATAATTTATAGACTAATTGATGTCTGTGCGTAAAGGTTTCCCTATCCAAGAGTGAAAGTAGATCATTTATCTCTAATATTCACACAGTAGATGCTCTGTTTAACTGTTTTCTGTTAAAAAAAACTGTTAACTGTTAACTGTTTGCTTGTGAAATACGCAGTTTTTCCACTTAGGCTTACTTTTACGTCATGTAAATAGCAAATACGCTTATGACGCGACACAGCTGGCTCTTAAAGGGAATGGGAGTGACTCTGATTGGTTTATTCTCAAAACACACCTATAACTCATTAAGAAAATAAACTCAACCCTTTTAGACCATGCGCCACGTGCAAAGCGGATTTTTCCGTCCTTTAATTAACAAAAATGCATTCTGACACACCCTAAAAGCGTTTGCGTCTTGCGTTTTGCGCTCTGCGCATGGATCGTTAAAATAGAGCTCTATATTGTCATCCAATAGCTCAGTTTGTTACGGGGCGTGAACAACATATTGCTGAATAAAAGTAAAAATGCCAAACTACAGTTAAAGTTGAAAAATTAAAAATGAAACACCCAAAATTACATGAAACTCTGGAAGAAACGTGAATACCCTGGTGATGCAATGACATCGTCTTAAACTTTCCATCTAAAAGTCCCTCCTTGGTTGTACCCATATTTCTTTGCACGTTGAACACAAGTCAGCCATAACAGGAAATAAAAAAATCTGCGACCACATTAACTGCGTTTTTTTTTTTTTTTTTTCGTGTTAAATATTTCAGATTAATTGCATGTCTTAACATGGTAATTTTGACAGCACTAATAAAACGTTTTTGCGAGTGAACACAGTATGCCTCAGGGAACACAATACCCTTTTTTTGCTTGAGAATGTAAAGGTTTTGTGAACAAATAGATCTTTACTTTCCCAGTACTGGGTTGCGGCTGGAAGGGCATCTGCTGTTTAAAACAAATGCTGGAATAGTTGGTGTTTCAATCCACTGTGACAACCTCCGAAATAGAGACTAAGCCGATAGAAAATGAACAAATGAACGAAAAAGAATGCAAAAATGTTAGTAAGCAAATGTTACAATTGTTTTTAGGCTGAAAATACTTTTATAGTTTTAAAAAGTTTTACATGAGAACTCAAGATTGCTTGGCAGGACACAATATTTTTGTGAGAGGAAAAAATAGGTAAGGGAGTTAAATTCTGTAATTTTGATGAAATGATTCTCAGTACTTTGTGAAAAATTATGCAAAAGTTTTGCAAACAAATGAGTAATTTTTGTAAAGAGCTTAAAAACATTAAAGTGAATGCTTTATTTGTTAAGTAATATGTGCAGGATATGCAGTACTTGAACACAAAATATTGAAATACAACTGCGGCCCCCATGATCTCATGTTCTGCCTCTTACGTTACATAAGATGTCTGCCCTGCTACATAATACAAATGAATGTGATCTTTTTCCGCAGGCGTTTGATGACTGCATCTTCGCCTTCTTCGCTGTGGAGATGGTCATCAAAATGATCGCCCTGGGGATTTTTGGAATAAATGGTTATCTTGGCGACACGTGGAACCGCCTGGACTTCTTCATTGTCATGGCAGGGTGAGGAATCCTGTCTCTTTTCTCACTTGTCACTCATCCATTCAGCCATTATCACCACAGCAAAGCTAGTCAAGAGAGACCCGCCGCTCCACTTACAGTCCATCAGGAAATAGATTTCCCAGCGCTCTGATTCATTTACCATTTAAAAAAAACAACATCTTCCTAGTTGTTTAAATTGACCTTTGAAATGACACACAAGTGATGAACACTTCAAGACCTCTCTTTTAAAACCACATTTCTTTCATTACCCTTAAGTAAGATTGACAAAATGAAAGGTTATAGAGATTGGTCTTTAGTGTTTGATTCCTGTGGTGTGTTTCCTCTGCTCTGCTTCAGGATGATGGAGTATTCACTGGACGGTCATAACGCCAGCCTGTCAGCCATCCGGACTGTGCGAGTGCTCAGGCCCCTGCGAGCCATCAACAGAGTGCCCAGTAAGTGACTCTCCAGCTGGAAATCTAAATAAATTGAGGGATTTATTTGAGATTAATTGGGTTGGTTGCTTATGTGATTTGATTCAATTGATCAATCAAGTTTTTCACTACTTTTGTTCACAAAGGTGTTGATGATAAACCAAGCTGTTTTTTTAGAGTCATAAAAGAAAGAGAGTAGATGGACAGTAAGTACAAGAACAATCCACTGAAAAACAGCAAACACAAATAATATCCATGTTGAAGATGTGTTGAGGGGACTAAACCATGTTTTCATGCTTGTACATTTTGGGGAGAAGTAGAACAGATATGTATTTGCATTTATGATGCTAGATGCTATTATAAAAAGCGACTTAGAAGTGTGGATGATAAAATCAATTAAAGTCATTAGAGAGTAGCAGTACATAAATGCTATGACAAGTCTAAGTTCATTAATAGTCAGGTCCATAAATATTTGGACATCGACACAATTCTAACATTTTTGGCTCTATTAGGCTCATTAGTGACAGCTCATTGGATCTCATCTTGAGGGTTGACAGCTACAGATTCCAGATGCAAATGGCACACTTGAAAGGAACTCTGGACCTTTTTATCTGCTCATTGTAATTGAGATAATGAGGGAACAACACCTACCTGGCCATGGAACAGCTGAGAAGCCAATTGTCCCATTACATTTAGTCCCTTACCAAGTTAGAGTGATATATGCAAACTGTTGTAATTCCTACACTATTCACCTGATTTGGATGTAAATCCCTTTAAACTAAAGAATTTGTTTAATTTCAAATCCATTGTGTTGGTGTATAGAGCCAAAAATGTTAGAATTGTGTCAATGTCCCAACATTTATGAACCTGACTGTATTTTATTTGTATTATTAGGTTAGTTTTAAGTTTGTTTGTTTTTTTCAATCAAGCATATGAAGAGGAAACCGTTTGTCACCTACAGGTGGTTTGTCAAGCCCACTCACCTGCATGAAGCACACTAAGAATTGCACAATGTTTTTGAGAGAGTGTCTCCTGTGTCACCTCTGTGGAGAACACTCAGGATTGCACAATGTTTTCCAAGTAATGAGTGTGAAGTAGCAAACAACAGTGAGGGCAGGAGGGGGTGGGTGGTGTTGTCTCAAACTGAAGACCCGAGTCTCTGGTCAGTACTACCAATCTCTGCAACTGGGGACTGTACTGTAATTCCGGGAGTTTTCGGGAGACAGAACAAAATGAGAGATGGGTCTGAAATATGGGAGACTCCTGGGAAAAAACGGGAGTGTTGGCAAGTATGTGTGGTGTGTATGGAGATTGTTTTTAGTTTGTCAAGCCCTCTGAACAACACAGCAACACATGAACCGTCAACTTATCCAGCATATGCTTTACGCAGCAGATGCCCCTCCAGCTGCAGTCTAGTACTAGGAACACATGATATTTTATGTGAAACTATTTAGATGGCACTCTGGTGCGGCAAAGCTGGGCGCCCCGGACCACTGCCAACTCGCAGCGCTGGTGTGCGTACCCTGATAGAAATCTATGTTTAGAATTCTAAAATGCATGGTGCTGCATGACACGTCATGGCCAATCTGGTTTGTGAATGCCTTAAAAATTGCACATTGTTTTTACCAGAAACATTAAAGTGATTATAAGTGTCTGGTGCATACAGGGAGGGGAGAGTGTTTGTGAAGCCCAGTCACCTGTGTGGAGCACACTCAGAATTGCACAATTATTTTCAAAAAGCATGGCGTGCTTATAAGAAGGTGTCTGATGCATATGTAGAGGAAAGAGTGTGTCACTCATGTGCAGGGCATGGATGAATCTTTCTAGTGCATGTGTTGATCTCTTGTATATATGCTGGATGCCGAGCACTCATAAAAATATGTACACTGTGTGGTTTAGTCGAATAAAGGGCCCTGTTTATGCTTGGTATTAAGCTGCATCTTCTACAATCCAGTAGTGAATGGCACTTTATATAGGTGTTAAATAAGTATAATGACCTATATATACTGAACCAATAATTTACACATTAAAACTGTTTAAATATGGAATCAGAAATACATGAAAGGATAATATCCTATATTAGTTTAAGATATCGTTCTATAATATGCTATATGTTACACAATTAAGTATTTTTAATTGATTTCACTGCTTTAATATTTGCTCAAGCTGTAAAGTTGTTCGCCAAAAAAATTTGTTCATCATATTTTGTTTTCATAGAGTGTAAAATTTGCAAATTACATGAGATTTTTCCAAAATATTAAATAGAAAATTTGGAAAAAGCTAACATAGACCTGACACCCACCAATAGATCTCCCTTATTAGTGGTCAAAAGAGACAGATTTAAATGGCAAGGATAAACAACATTGTGTCTCTGTTGTCTGTTTCAGATTTGATTTCGACCAAGATGCATCTTGGTTGTGTGTGTGTGTATGTGTGCGTATGTGTGAGTTTTCCTTGAAAGAAACCAAACAGCTATTATGTTCCAAAAACCATCTTAAAGCACCTGAGTCTGCCGTGACCTGTTTTTTTTTCCAGCAGTGATCTTTGGCTGCTGATGCCACTCAAGCCATTGTTATGTGTGCTTTCATCTGTGATGAAAGGAGAAAACAGATGCCTGATCTATGGCTTGTGAAGCAGAGATCATTTTAGCTATTCTCATGATGAGCCTATGTGCAAGAAAGACAACTTACAGAACACACTAGACCATAAATTAGCCAGCCGAACACGTCCCACAGACTGAGAGAGGCGTATTTCTTCCAGTAATGAGCCTCTGTGTGGCAGACTGACAGATATGTTTGATCTCCTAGATCCTTGTCTGTAAGAAAAACAATGAATGCTATAATGTGAGCCATAAGTCAGAGACCTAATAAAGTTAACACTGAGTCCCCTTTGCCTTTCGTTGCTGCTAACTGACTTTTTGCAAAGGCAAGTGTCCTTTAAATATACTGATTTTATAAGGTTATGGTGCACAAACGTATCAAATGTTTTTGAACGTATTTCTCTATAGTCCGAGACACACCAAGCTGATAGCAAAGAACAAACGGCGACAAATATTGACTTGTATTGTCTTCTCTAGTCAACTGCTTCTGGTCCCATCTGGACCAAAAAGCTGCATGAGAACACACCAAACAGACAACAGTCGACTGAAATGAGAATGTAAATTTTACACCTGCACGAGAGGATATATTTCCATATTGTCATTTCAAAAAGAGCAACCTAAGATGGCAGAGAGAGCTTAAGACACTGCAATTTAGGATTACGCATTTACAACAACAACAAAAAAAACACCAGCAAATTATAAAAAGATCTTTTTGATCAGTTTGACAGCAAACATGTTGCAAATCTTTACAATTCAAATGAATTTAAGAAAACTTACCTTCATTTCCATATCCATACCTTTCATTTGCATTTCGTCCTTAAAATGAACACTACAGGACTGTATGATGCTGTTCCTTTTGGCGCTTACCAGCTGACCACTTAACTCTGTATGGGCATCTTTCTTGCGGTGACCAGTTTGTGCAGTAGCTCGCCATGTACATCAGCGGCCTTGAGTGGGTCACGAGGGTGAGTCAGTCGATCAATCAGGCAGTCCGTCAGTGAGTTGATTTACGTAAAAAAACAGCAGGCATGAATGACACTTGTGAAAGAAATTTGAGATCTCAAAAAGTGTACAAAGCAGCAAATTTGTGAAAACAAAAACTGCAATAAAACATAGCTGCTAAGACATATTTGCCGCTCTTAAGAAATGTATATAGCGCTATGTTTTCAGAATGAACCTGGGTTGAATAAAAACCAACCCATGCTCATTCTGAAAACGTAGTCCTGCGAACATTTCTGGAGGCCGCAAATTATGCAGCCGGAGGTACGTATGCCTGTATTTCAGTTTTTAAATGAATGTTTGGGGCGAAGTGACACCATTCCTTTTACCGCTTACCGGCTGACCGCTTACCTTCGTGTGGAGAGCTTTCCCGCTGCAACCAGCTTGTCCAGTTAGCTCATCGTGTACGTCTGCAGACTTGAGACGCAAAGAGGAGTTGACCACGATGAAGGAGTCCGGGTAAAAACGGTTCCAGATATCAGGTAAGACAAAACAGAATCCAAAAAATAGAATGATTGAGTGAATAAACAGGGTTGAGAATGCGGTGAAAATCTGAAAACATGGTAAAAATCAGTCGAGGGCTTTTCTTTTTATGGACAGCTTTTGTAAATTGTCGGTTGGGTTTAGGGAAGTAAGTGGGTGGGCAGGTCAATCAGTAAAATTGGTTGGGTTTAGGGAAAGAGGAGGGTGGGTCAGTCGATTGGCCGGTCGCCCAGTCAATCATTCAGTCATTCAGTCAGTCAGACGGATGGTCGGCTGATAGCGGCTTCTAGTGGGTTTGCGTGAGAATTTGCGCCCATGAGAGACATTCTAGACAAAAAAGCACACCTCTCGCGGATTTGCGAAAACAAAAACTGCAAAAAATATGTACCTCCAGGGACGTATTCCGCGGTCTCCAAAAACGTCAATAGGACTACGTTTTCAGAATGATCCTGGTCTGATAAATCCATGTAACGTTAGGCTATGCTATTGCTAGTTACTTTATTTTCAATAATAAGGTAAACTCTTTACTGGTTCTTACAGTATGGCCAAACATCATGCAAGATGATATCAAACTCACATTAGAAATACATAAAAATGTAATGAACATGGACAGAACCTTGTGGGAACATGACATGAAAACTGCTGGTTTAAAATAAAAATACTACTTTGAGAAAAACTAATGTTTTACACTTTTTAGAGGATTCGTTTCTTTGCTTTAAGGCAAATTGAAGAAAACTGGTTAAAATCAGAAACCATATTTTATTTCAATGTAATCTAAAAATGTACTTTGAATGAAAGACGGAGTAGTTTGACTGATCTTCAGTCTCACATTATCCTTCAGAAATCATTTTAATATGCATGCTCATTTGTTGCTTAAGAAATGAATCTTATTATCATTGTCGTTCTCCCTAATATTTCTTAGACACCATGATATATTTAA